ATAGCTTTACGGATTTAATATTACATCATACAAGAGGATGCACCTACGTCATGGCAATAGTAAGGAGGTATTTCACATATCCGAATGTGATGAGAAAACATCATTAACTGACACCAAATGTGAAAAGGATCTGGGTGTATATGTTGACAAAAGTTGAAGTTTTCAGACCATTGTGAGAAGAGGGTAAATCAAGTGAATAAGTCACTAGGAGTTATACAAAGATCATTATATAATGTTCTTCAAAGGTGAGTTTCTTTCTCTCTTGGAGTACTGTCATCCTGTCTGTTCCCAAAATATGTTGGAGATTGTCAGTTGATTGAGAAAAAAAAGAGGGCTACCAGACTGGTACCTGTACTCCAACACCTCAGGTATCAAGAAAGATTAAAATGCTTGTGGTTGCCTAGTTTATACTGTAGACAGGCAAGAGGTGATTTAAGAAGTCTATAAGCACCTCAGAGGAGATTCCTCAGTTAAACAAGCTGTTTTTTGCATGCTCTACAAGAGGTCACAGCCTCAAGTTAAAGAAGCCACAAATGCACAAAATTGTCAAAGCTAACTTTTTGGAGTGAGTTGTGAATTCATGGAATAATCTTCCAGAGAGGGTTGGATGGCAACCTATTTATGACCAGACTTAATTAACACTGGCACAGTTCAAGTACATTCTGGAGCCAATGCATACCCAATATTTGCCAACAGTGTATAACAGAGAAATGACTGACCGGCTAGAGTGCCAAGTAAAGTAATAAAAAAATGCTTTTATAATCAAGGGACTAAGCAGGTGGTTTGTATGAAACCCTGCGTGAACATGACAGATAGGAGTGTTTAAATAGGTGCAATGATGAACATAGGTGCAATGCACTGAAATGACCCTTATATTGCAAGCCTCTAAAGAGTAAAGTATAGTAAATAATTATACTGTACTAATACAAAAAAAATTGAAATGGGGACTTTCACGCTGGGCTCATCTTATGTTCAATACAATGAAAATCAGAGCTGCTGTGCGTCCAGATGTACGGTGCGATACACCAAAGTGTTTATTGATTTTGCACGATTGTTTGCACTATAAGTAGTTTGAAGTCTTAAACATATCTCTGACGACAGATTTAACTGTTATACGTGAGAGCATAGTAGTGGTTACTACTGTACTGCCATAACTATCTTTCCAAAGTTACGTAACCACAGATCCAAGTCATCCACCCTTGAAAAGATCCTTCAATTAGTATCTTAGATTATATCACAGAAAATGGAACTTCCAACCAGTCCCTTCAGGGCTCAATGTTTTATTTGATGAACCACATCATCCAAGTGAGGTCTCACTGACCCTAAAGGTAGTTGTAAATATCACTACTGCTCCTGTTACTAATGCTTCTTGATATGAACCCTAGTACTGTAGTTGTATTGTGTCAAAGTATTACATACACAAATACATTTTGACGGATTTAAGGTCCTTACTTCTAATTAACCCTTAATCTTTCACACCATGAGATTTCTCTATACTGTACAGGTTTCTACAGTGTTCAGCTGGTAACTGGTTCCCTATTTCCATTTCCTGGCCTTAGAACTTTAGATTTTCCCCATCAGATTGCGTTTGCCATTTTTCGTTCTATTCTAAATGTTTGTGTTAGCTTTCCTGTATTTTTTCTTCATATGATTTAATTATACTGTACATCCTAATTTTGTCATAAGCAGATTTATTTAAGTTGCTGTTTTGGGCTGTACACTATCTATGTTGTTGATATTAACTATATCTTGGGAAGTATAGTTAATGTTCAATTTTATGTTAAACTCTGGTTCTAAATTAAACAATATTTTAGTCTTTAGACCTCATACACATGATTATCTAATAACTCTTGGTTACCTTTTAAAAATTAGGTCACTGTGACCATTCTGGAGGACTCTCATATCTTTGTCTTCAGGGTCAAATCTCAAAAGTAGGTATATTTGTGCCCATTCTATAACTTTGGAACCACCACAGGGACTATGATGATAATACTGTAATAGAATTGGTAAATGGCAATAACCTGATGAATTGTGAGCACCACTCAGACACCTATCATAAAGGTCAAGGTCACACTTTGGGATGAAAGGCAGAAGTGGTTTTTATATAAGCAAGGTATACTTCACTGGTATATGAAAGTATGTAGAAATACTTTATCAAATTGGCCAAATACTTTCAAGACAGTTGGTAACTTAAAAGTCTTCATCACACCGCTTTCGTGAAATTTATTTCAGCTGCAATTACTCTTACAATTACTTTTTAGTAAATTATTCAGTCTTACAGTATTCTTTTGAAGTTGTCTTACTTTTTATGCTCCTTTTCTTTCTTCTGGCATCTTAACAATCACTAGAGATTTCTGGTTCTCTCTTGTGAAGTTTGAATGTTCCTTTTCCTTCTCCAGCGTTTTATCAACCACCATCCTTTGCAGGAGGTGGCTAGTCAAGCAGTCAAGGCTGGATGTGATGCTCGAGCTGTGTTGACGCTGTACTCCTCCAGGGACATGCCTGCTACAGACTCTGATAATATGAGTGAGGCAGAAAGAGCCACTCTCAAATTTGCCCGATTCATGCAAGTAAGTATACTTTGTCCAAAGTATATAAGTATAATAGTGATTTTTTAAACTGCTGAATTACTTATTACATCAGTTATCAATAAGGAAATTTGTCTTTTCACTCATATGGTAAGCATAACACTGAATAACCTACTGCATATAGAATATGCAGTTAGATTGTAACACTGAATACAGTACCTAGTAGTCAAGATAATATTTTTTATGTTTGCTTACAGGTCGGTCTGTACAGATTTATACAACAAAACTCCTGCACAGACTCCTGATGGATCACTCTCACTGCCTCAGTCCTCATCCTGCTCTTCCAGCACTTCAGCAGAGTATGTACAGTAATTTTCTATATAGGTCCACTGCCGATTTCGCTTGGTTCAAAACCTTGCTGGATTATCCTTTTGCGGACCAACGAGGTCAGTTAATAATAATTCAACAATACACCTCTGACCCACTAATTAAACATCCTGTGTCTCTAAAGCACCATGGACTACTAGAAACTTAAATTAAACAAATATTAAATGTAAATTAAATGTGAAAGCCATAATTTTGAGCAACACTACTGGACACACTTTAGACTCAAATGTACTGTACAGTTGAACCTCGATTTACGCGGTTCTCGTTTACGCGTTTGGTCATTTCGCGGTACCTTGCCAGAACCGGGATGCCTGATTTACCCGGTGAATTTACTCATTCTGCGGGTGAAGTATAATTTGTTTATTTTCTGAAGATATTTGTTTTAGCTCATAAAATTCATACAAATTACCCGGCCAGAATATAATTTACATTGCTGATTCTTTTAAGATTGTGATTATTTTAAATATAAACATCATGGAATTTGCATTAGACATACAATTTTAAATCTAATGTAAATTTTGATTACAAAGAGCCAAATTTTATCTTTTGTGCAAAATATATGACGTTTATATTCAAAATATTCCTGGTCTTGCAAGGAATCCAGCAATTTCAATTATATCTAACTTTAGTCTGAGTTATTATTTATTACTATACCTTAAAATCTAGTGTTTTCACCCAAACATTTCTCAGGAGGAGCCAGCAAGCATGGGAAGAGGGGGAGTTGAGTCCATTATTTGAATGGACTTTAACCTGGCGACTGTATTTCTCTTAAATATTAATTGTGTGTGCATACCATCATAAAATTAAGATGTTATTTTTACTACAACATAGGTATTGTAGCCGGAAAAAGTGGAGTTTGGGAGTCTGCCCAGTCTCTATTTCAATTAATCCCATATGTTCTGTTATTCCATTTACGCTGCTTTCGTTTACACGCTACTCATGGTTCAATTGACCGCATAAAACCGAGGACCACTGTACTACACTAGACTAAAAATTTTATCTCTTGTGCAAACTATGTATGTTTATACTCAAATTAATCACTATCTTACAAGGATTCCAGCAATGGAATTTATATTCTGCTAAGTCTAGTCAGCTACATTTTATAAGATAAAAACTTTGCCTAAAACTACTGTAGCTTCACCTTGGCTGGGAGGAGGGAGGGAGGGAGCTAAGTGCCCTCTCAATAATTTTGTCCTGACTAAAGGAGGTGTCGGACCATCACTTCCGGAAAATCGGTGGTGTACCTCGGCCTACAAGGCGACGGGTGTATAAGACGACCCCAAAAATTTCCATTTAAAAGTAGGTTTTGACCTCGATTCGCTGTATAAGACCGTACCCCAAATGTGACACTTACCATTGGAGCTTACTGACCCAGTAGTCCTTACCAACCATCACATTGACCAATGCTGTTTACACATCCTTGTTTTTTAAAATAAGACCAATTCACTTCAAGTAATGGCATCAAATGTTACGGGTGGTGTAGTGTAAACACTAGTGACGCTACTTAAGCATCTGTTATTTCACTGGAACTAATGTCGGTGTCGAGTAAAATTTTCCATTTACGGATTTTGAAATGGATTTACCGATTTATTTGTTTATTTATTTATTTATAATATACTGTAATATATTAAAAGTATTTTCTTTAATTTACAAGCTTGTATCGCGACAAAGGGAGGCTACCATTATACCTGGTAGGTGAAGTTGACCTGATACATTTATGGTGATCATTAAGGATCAAACTCTGAATCAGATGACCTGACTTCGCTTCATCATTCTCATCCTAAATTTACCACTGTCGTAGTTTCAAGAATTAACGCAGTCATTTACTGTATATTCTTTGTAAAAAATAAATTTAAATGAATCATTTGTAGGAGATAAGTATTATGATCAGTAAGTATACCGATATGCATTACTGACCACCGGACACAAAGGCGGCTATAAATAGTCTTACCTCACCCCTCTGGTCACTTTTCCTTTTCTTGTCTCGTCACTGGCAAATGACGGGAGGGGGGTGATGATAGCTGTTTTTATTACCAGGGTATATTGTTCTTTTACAGTATGTTAGACAGGTTTATAATACATTTTATTATTTTGATATACCGTAATCTTATTTTTAATCCAGCTTCCAAACGTAAGTTTCAGTATAAAATAATTAGTGGTAGGACCTGAGTGGTTTACGATGTTCTCCATCACCACTCTTGACACGCTAAACCACAATATTTAAGAGGTAAGAATTTTATACCCTGTGCTTAAGACGACCTCATTTTGGGCTGATTTTTTAAGGTTTAAATTCCGTCTTATAGGCCGAGATATACGGTACCTGTATTACAGTTTATTTATACCTTTTATTAAATTCCATGAGGTACCATATACAAACTGAACTTTGTATGTCCTTTATATCTTCTCCATTTTTCTTTTCCATTCTGATTCTTGCAACCTCTTTTTAGGATGTACAGGTATGGGATCATTTATTCAGCATGCATGGGACCTAGATAGCAGTGTTTTTGTGTGTGTTTTTTTTTCAGAATTTGAAGTACCGGGCAAAAAATGTACCAGAACATATCCGTATTTTTCGCATTCCAGTTACCAGCACTCCGGATAAACTTTCCCATACCTGTATATCATAACCCTTGCTCATTGCTGGCTGGCAACTGTTCTCTTATGTTTTACTGAGGAATGTGGTAGTCAACGTTCACCTCCTTTCTTAAGGGATGCTGGTTTGTTCCAGTTCACCCAGCTGTAAATTGGGACTCAACTTATTTGGAGAGGAAGACAGTCAGTGCATTGCTTGCTACATTGTTCCTAAAGCATTGTTAGACACACTTTCACATTTCAATAACAGACCAATGGTTCATAGAATCTGACAATCTGGGACAAAGTGAGTGAGAAATGCTACTGTACATTTAGCAACTTTTTCATTATTTGGCCTTGTTTGTCTGAAACTCTAGAGTGTATACCCTCAGTTAAACTACCATAGTACTGTATATGGCCTCTTTGAATGGTTAGAGATGGTATTTAGAGGGTGCTTTCCCAGGTTAATTTCTCTCTCTCAAAACTTACCAACAATTGTGCAATCGTAACATTTCTCTAAATTCACATTTATTCATCTTCATTCCTTACATTTGTATATATTTTCCTTATATTTTATTGTTTGTATCATCACAAGAAAAGCTTTCTTTTAAAACCCAGTGTAAAGACTGTGATGTGCAGATAATATAAAATGAGAACAAAGAATAAGTTGATAGGGTGTGGATTTGGATAATTATGAATATTGTAAAGATGAAGTGTTAATTTCTTGTACATTAAATGCAGGACAAATGTAAATATAAGAATCCAAATTACATCATGAAACTGTATTCCAGGTTAGCCTCACCAGAGCGACCTCGTGCACCTGTACCAGAACTTCATATTGCTCTTGGTGGGTCGGCTGTAGTACCACCAGATTCCCCTTGCAAGCCCTGAGATTCCGATGGCTCGTCACCTCTGGTAGAGTGCAGACCGATGCCACTCTTTTGTCCCAGAGGTTGAGGAAATACGTATATCACCAGTTGTCAGCCGAAAGGGCTACCTCAATGTTCTGGATGACCGAACCAACACTTGGATAAAGAGATGGGTGGTAAGTATATGCTGTTATTTATTTCTAATGGAGACTGAGCATGAAGTGTGTGGTAGACTGCAAGGAAATTTTTGAGAAAAGACAGCACATTTCCTGTTGGTTAATAGGAATGGATATAATGAATTAACAGTAAAATTTTATTTCAGAAATTTGCACTGTTCAGACTGAAAGCATGCAGGATTATACATTTCCATTTTCCAGAACAAAATCTGACTCTTTCCTATCCCTACTCTTGAAACCATCTGTAAAAATATATGACGTTTATATTCAAATTATTCACTGTCTTGGAAGGATTCTAGCAATGCAAATTATATTCTCCTAACTTTAGACTGTGATATTATATAAAATAAAACTGTATATAACCACCCAACCCTGGCTGGGAAGATGGGGGGGGGTGACAGTGACATGTTTGACAGTTGGGGGAAGGTGTAGTGAAGTGTTTATTTGTTTATTTGTGTCCTTTATTGAGTTTTTGTTTTTGTTTATTAAATGTCACAGAAGTGACCGGGGAGAATATAATTTACATTGCTGGAATTCTTATAAGATAGTGATTAATTTGAATATAATCTTGCTATAGTTTGCACTAGACAAAAATTTTAGTAATCATTTATTACATTATTTTGAGTACATGTACAGTAGAGCTTTGCCCCTAGGACAGTGTAGCGTGCCCAGAGAAACATTAGGTGCGAATTTTAAAATATGATGCTCCAGATTGACTCTCGCAAAATAAGAAAGATTCACTTTAAATTAAAACATTGTCCTTAATTGTGGGTATCGCTTTAAATCAATTATCTTAAATTGAATCGCATTAAATCGATGTGCTACTGTACATCATTTTACCAACTCTGTCAGTAGTTGCTTGCAGTCTAGTTACATAAAGGATTTTCATCAGATTCACTGTAAACTGATAAAGTAAGCTGTAGTAATACCTATGACAAAAAGTTTCACACTAAAGAAGAGTGTTCTCTTTTTATAAGACCTTATGTCTCCAATCAATCCAGATGAAAGATGTCTTAATAAATTACCAATGGTAATAAGTTGACAACCACCTACCATTGACCACACCATCACATCCTTTCGTTGTCAGATACAAGCTTAATGTTTTACCCCTTCCCCATCCTTCCTTCCCCCTTCCTCTCATTTGGTCAGGTGGTGACCCTGTTCCCCGTGAGGTCATGACTTCATGTGTAGTCACTAGCTTGGCAGTCTCTTCGACACTGTTGACATTGACTAACTGTTACCAGTACTACCAGTACTTATGATGCTTAATCTAGTAACCAAAGCAGCTTATCTGCACCTGACTGATAGGTCACTAATCCAGGTACGTACACAGATGATATGCAGCCTATCAAGGTATTATACCAGTAGCCAGGAATGTGTAGTATTTTCATATTCAACATAATGGGAATACTGTAGACAAATGTGATTGATTACAATTACAAAACAGATTTAAGAATATATTCATTTATGAATACTTGAACAAGTGTAATTGAATATATTTCTAGATTACGATAACACTGTGTCTGTTTCATTATTGTTCACCAAGACTAAATCATATAAAAAAGTTTTAAAAGTATGGAAATGATAAGTAAAATATTGGACAATAGAGTAGATAAGGGCAGAATTAAAGATATAATGGATATTATCTTACTGGGTATATTGTTGTGGGAGGAGCAGGTAATTGGTTTACTTTTACTTTTATCCTCTTCGCCACTGATCGGCTTGTTAGCCGCTTGGGCGATCGGTCACGACTCTTTCCTTATATTCTTCACCAAAAGGTCGGCTCGCTAGCCGCCCGGGCGATCGGTCACGTCTCTGTCACGCACTGTTGGCAAATACTGGCATGCACCGGCTCTGAATGTACCTGAACCCGCTCCAGTGTTGGTCAAGTCTTCTTGAAAGAGCTCACCTCGGTGCCGTCAAACACTTTCTGTAGATTGTTCCAGAGTTTACAACCCTCCTCCGAAAAAGTTTGCCCTCACGGTTTCCGGACTTGGGCTTCTTCAATCTTGAGCTGTGACCTTGTGGGCGAGCGTCCGCCAGCTCAAGTAAGGACACTCAACTAGTAGTGCCCTGAGATGCTTATAAACCTCAACTAGGTCCCCTTGCCCGTCTGTAGTATAGCTAGGCAAGTTCAGGCGCTCATCTCGCAGGTAGCTGAGATGCCGGTGCAGGCACCATTGGCCTCCTTTGACATTTTAACCAACTGACAGTCCCTAGCATATCTCGGGGACCAGATGGGGTGACAGTTCAGATGGAAGCACTTCACTCTGAAATCGTCAGGGACGGACCGTCTGAATCTGAACGACCTTATAAGACCCAATAATTTTTGCCTGATTTACCTTTCTCTGGCCGGAACAGCTCATTGTCCATACACACCTAGGTCCTTTCCACACAGTCTCAACTAGTACATTTTTCATCCGTTGGGACATGGTACCCTCTACCGTTGGTACCCAGGTGCATCCTCTTACACTTCGTGACATTGAATCTCAGCAGCCATTCCTCGACCATTCCTGGAGCCACAGGGTCCTTCCAGCTCTTCACAGTCCGCTTGGTTCTTAATTTCCAAATAACTTGGCGTATCGGCAAACATTTGTATGGAGGAGTGCAACGTCAGGCATTCATTTATGAAACAAACAAACAACAGACCAATACCTGCGGTACCCACTTGTTAGGTACAGATGACGATTTCGTGCCATTAATCACCACATTGCTTGCGGTCATGAAATCTTCTTCCGCTAGGACATTTCCGAATTCTCCCTTCGGTTTGATTTTCAGCCTTCGTGGGGTACACTGTCAAGCGCAAAATCTAGGTAAATATGTCGATATTACACCCCGTTCTAGAATATGGGTCCAAATTCATACCGATTGTGTCAAGCAAGAGCGCCGCATAAACCGTGTTGGCAATCTTTACAGTTGTTTCGTAGTAGATGATCCATCGCTGCATCTCTGATATCTCTCGATACTTATTATGCTGGTCAGGCTCACCGGTCTATAGTTGTTCGTGGGTGCCTATCGCCTTCTTGAAGATAGGACTCACAGCCCTTTCATTCCTGGGGACCATTTGTTCATCAGGCATTTACAAAAGAATCTTCAGGGCTCTGCAAGCTCGTTGCCAGCTCCTTAGCACTCTAGGATGCACCATGTCAGGTCCAGGACTCTTGGACCTTTAGCCTGAACAGTTTATTTCTAATACCCTCTTCTGTGAACACAATGTGGGTCAGTGCTGTGTCGAACCGTCTGTCCTCAAACGCAGGAAGGTTAGTGCATCCTCTCTTGTGAACACTGAGAAAAAGCTGTTCAATGCCTCAGCTTTATCCTGGTCAGAATCTGAACTACCATCTTCAAGCCTCAGGTATCTCTCTCGCGTTTTCAATTTCGACTTTGCATTAAGCTGGGTTTGACTGACCTCGCGTGCAACCAGCCTTTGGAACTCCTTTTCAGCCCTCCTACACTCTATCTTTGCTTGGTTTCTGGCTCTTGCATACATCCTCCTGTCTTGCTCATCGTTTGACCAACCCCGTCTTGAATTTCTGGGTTTTCTTCTTAATGATGACAGAACTTATAATTTGGGAGAGCTTGGCACTCAATTGATGGATTTCTTCCAGGGAGATCAAAAGAGCGACCTATACGATAACCAATTAAATATGTCTTTAGATCTACCAATTGATCACAGGTTTTCTAAAGATTTGCATTAATAGCAAAACAAAGATGGAGTCTAAAATACCATTGCTTCAGTCAAAAAGACTTGGCTGTCATGCCTCACAGGTTTTCATATGGAGGCTTGCTCCTATAAAGCTCATCACTGAAGAGGTTAAAGTCCATGAGTATGGCAGTTGTGTATATCTTGGCAACTACATTACTGTAAAATTGCTGGAATTTGTCATATTTCTTCAAAGTTTTAGAATTGGAAACTCCCAACTCACAGCATTTATGCAGCCAGTTTTCAAATATTAATTGATGTAGCCATCATTAGGGGAGTGACTTTGTTAGAACACTATTCTTGGTTAAAAGGTAACTCTTAGATTAACTTCCTCCAAGGAGATATGATCAATGTTTTGTATGGTTCAGTTCTTGTTACTCTTAAGCCTTAAAATTAGGCTTTAGAAACTATGTCCACACTTTGATAGTTTGCACAGAATTATTCTAGTTAACGATATCATATTTCATTAAGAGATAAATCACAAATTTATTTATTTAATTTTAGAGTTTTCATCTAGCGAGTGAAATTCTTACTCCAAAAGAAAAATTTATCTCAAAGTTTTTAATTGTTCTTATTTCAAGTTCTTTTGCTTCCAGAATGTCTCCAATCATTCAGAGTTACTAATTGTATCCTGATACTGTATACAGTACTTGTTTCAAACAGACTTGTGGATAGATTCTGATCACCTCAGGGAGTTGCAATCCTGCCTTGCCATATAAGAGGATGATTTAAAATCCTACACATAATGCTTTGTTCCTACTCTATAAAAGCGGGTTGGCAATATGAAGAGTATCCAACAGTAAATTTTCTTTTAAATTTGCCTTCTGGTAACTAAGAGAGAGGTTGCAAGAATATGTATAGCTTGGAGAGCTGCCATCAGGTAAACATGGCCAACCCACACAAACTTGGAAAGTAATCATAAAACAGTAATGAGGATGATGACAACTGTTATGAAAATATTGATAGTTGTGTTTATGTGGTAGTTATATTGGTTATCTGAATGGACTTTTATTAATGCAGTATTTTGCGCAACAAGAGATAGCAATACAGGTGCTCCTCTACTTACGAACGAGGTACGTTCCTGAGGCTTGTTTGTAAGTCCAACTTTACTCTTGTAGATACCAAACATATTGTAAAAAATGAAAAGATTATGGATATTTAGTACAGCTATACCCTTTAATACAGCCTTAAAACCTGGCTCACTCTCTCCTCTTAGGTAATGTTTGTTCTATCTGGAATTTTCTTCAAAATAATCCAGTCTCATCCACATAAAACACCTGTTCTGGCAGGTAACCCCCCTCAATGATGATGTTTGTATCTCTGAAAGTTTGTAAGTTGAACGTTCTTAAGTAGAGGAGCACCTGTGTAGTTTTCACAGGGTATTACTTTTTTTACCATTATTTTAATGTATTCATACATGCTCTTTCCACTATATTATCTACCATTTCTACTTTTTGTCTGCCTTTTCATTTCTTTTGTCTAAGAAAGTAAATGTTTTTCCATTAGGTTGTACGACGACCATATGTATTTATCTTCCGAGATGAGCGGGACTCTGTAGAACGAGGACTCATTAATTTGGCCACTGCCCAAATTGAATACTCTGAGGACCAACAGGCCATGGTGCGGGTACCTAATTCATTCAGGTTAGTAACTTGTACATTTTTCAGGGTTTATCTTTAAACATTTTAGAATTTTTATTTTTTTTGTATGAGTTTTCATAAGTGGCTTGTAATATTTACAGCTCATTAAATCCCAATGGCAGAGCAACCTTACTGTGCTCTAGAAAGAGCAACAGAGGTGGTCTTTCCAAAACAACTACTCAACCAACAATACTTGGATACATGTGTCACCATTCCCAGCAGGAAAGTAGACCATCTAACAGAAATATTTATAAATACATTCCTCCTCCTATTCACCTTTCCCAGGAAATGAGACTCTGGAAATAATCCCATGAGATTTGCAGGTTCTTTCAAATTAATAGGATGCGAGTCAAACGTGCTTTACACTTTTTGTCATATCTTTGTGAAATTGTGACTGGTTTGTGGGGCAGATGAGTATAACTTCTATTTCCTTCGTGGTCTGAATGAATTGAACATGCAAAGAGGGTTTTGTGTGGGAGCTACAAGTTCTGTTATGATTATTAAAGTAAAGCTGTTGAAAATATCAAGTGGGTTTTTTTCCATGCTGCAGGTTAAGTTTATAGTTTGATTGCTGTTTCTAAGGAAATCCACACGACTCAGTAAGTGCAAATGACATTGTATCTACAGGTATCCCTCATTTAGCATTAATTCACTTAATATAATATACTTTAGTGATATAAAATTTTTCTTGCCCTTTCTTTTTTAAGTTGGGTCAAAATTCAGCTTAGCAATGTTCGTCTCACTATGATTGGGGGAAAACCGAGGCGGAGGTGGCCTGTGAGATGGCATGTTTCCTTTGTTACCTGTAATGAAACTATAAAAGTTATGGAAAAATCATTACAATCATGGTGGTGAAACAGAAGCCTGAAATAATGTGTTCTCTGGCCCTTTGATGATGAGGAGGTGCCATGGATTCAAGGTTGATCATGGAGGGTGGGGGGAGGGAGCATCTCCAAAAATTTATAAGCCACTGGTCTAAGCAAACAAAAGATGAAAGATAAAACACTCAAAATAACACAGTCTGAAAGGTTTTTAATAAAGAAAGTGAGACAGAATTTTAAGTCCCTTATATGTTTTAATGTAACAGTATTTAATAATTTAAATGTGGAGTGATGCATGACATAGCAGAATATTTATTTCATATTATTTATGAATATGATTAATATTAGGACTGGGTCTTTTGTGTGTTTAAAGAGAAAATAAATGTTTGCCAAAAATAATGATGTAGTTTGATTGGTGCTACTTATGAATATTTAGTCTTATTTAAAGGAATATCTTCCATAAAATAGATTTGATATTATATTCTCTGTTGTGAAAAGTGAATTTAGTTACAGTAATTTCAAACTTCTTCATTACAGTGTGGTGACCAAACAGCGAGGTTTCCTATTGCAGACCCTGGGAAACAAGGAAGTGCATGATTGGTTATATGCCATCAACCCACTTTAAGCAGGACATATCAGGTCAGATATTGGTAGAACAAGTTATACAGGGAGATAATATGTAATCATTGAAATTAAAGACAACCCAACCTCGTGTATGTATTCATACTCACATGCATATGTATGCAGATACTAACACATTAGAGTGAGAGTTGTATGCATATATTTACATAAACAATACATATTCATCATACATTTTTACACACATACTTGTACTCCCAAAAGTTTGTAGTTTTGAACAAATATACCGGTATGTACTGTAAATGTGTGAGCACACACACTCATACATGTTTTAACCCACACACAAAATATATAGTGGATTTGTAATATGGGGTAAAAATAGTATACAGACCTAATGTCAGTGTAGTATAACTGGAAAAGAGTAACAGATTGCTAGTGACTACATGAATACACTGAACCCTCACTAATTTGACATCTTCAGGGCTCTTGGTTGAAGGAATTACATGTATACAGTAGTTCTAATCCTTGGGACCAAGACTGAACCAGTTTTAAGTGTATTTTCCTGTGTCCTGGGACCTTAAAGTCCCAGACCTACCAGTAGACTATGTCATGTTTTGCATCCACATACTCATACTTTTTCAGTTTAAAATTTGATTTACTAATTAAATAAAAGAAGAAAGAAAACATCATTCTATGCATAATTTTAATAAAAATACATTAAATGTAGTGTTTTTTAGAAGTTGAGAGTTCCCTAAGTAGGCCTACATCAATCAATTAATCAGAGTACACAATTAATTCTTAAAAATTGCCCAAAAAATTTAGCAGAAAGTGAAAAAAGCCCACCAGTGCTTTGCCATGCATACATTATACAGGCACGGTATTAAGAAACTGCAAAATAGTGTCATTTTAAAGGTGAAATTAGACATATTAAACAATAGGAGAGTGTGGTGAATGAACAACTGTACAGTAAAGCCTCAAATAACGACGTTAATGTGTCCTCCAATATTGCAGTGTAAGGTGAATCGTCTTATCGCGAATCATTAATTACCATTAAAATAAAGCAATAATAATGAGATGCATTCCCCATTGTGACCTTTTCATATCTTTTGTGTGGCTCTTTACCCTCTTCCCCCCCCCCAAAACAATGCAATTAATGAAAATTGCAAACTATATTATATTCTTTAAATAATGTTTCTGAATGCACCTTATACAATATAAATAAATAATAATATGGTCACACAAGAGGAGATGGGATGCCATTGTTTTCGTTTGTGTTTACAGCCGGGAGTCCAGGACGATAGTTCTATACGAGAAAATGAAGAAAATAAGACCCAGGTTGTAGCTGTAGTAAAATTAATGAAAAAAAATTAATATACCTGGTATATGTTTTAAGTAACGTTATTTAATGTTAATAAATGGAACAATAGAAGTAGCTTACCACTAATGGCAAAGAAAAAAAAAGAGATGGATTGGGAACACCAACATATAAGTATGTGCGCATTTAAGGATACTGCGTCATTTATCTTTTTAAGAATACTGTATGTACAAAAGATTCATTATTGTTTATTACTGAATATGTATTTGATTGAATTGATGTTTATATATGTGAAATGAACAATGCAATTCATTAATAATACGTAGAATATTAAAACATACAAGAGACAAGACGGCATTGTTTTCGTGAGTGAAGATGGTTCTACATAAGAAACTGAAGAAAATAAGACCCTGGTTGTAGCTGTAGTGAACTTAATTAAAAAAATTGAATACCTGTATGTATGTTTTAAGTAAAGTTATATAATGTTAATAAATTGAACACTAGAAGTAGCTTACCACTAATGGTAAAGAAATAAGGCGAGACGATTGGGAACGCCAACATATGAACAGTAAGTGCGTACATGTGAAAACATATCGTCATTTCTCTACATATGAATATGAAAGCAACACTTATTTACTGTTCATATATGTTTGAAATAATATTTACGAATGTAAAACAAAAATTCTACTCACCAATGGTGGTAAAGTCTAAAACATAAGGACAGCCAATGAATATTGTGCGAGTTTTTACTCAGATGACGAAGTAATCAGGTTCAACTCTGGCTGAAGCTGTAGCTTTCCATAGAGCTGTTGCTGAAACTGTTACTGAACCTGAAGTTGATGTTGAATCTGCATATGATGCTGAATTTGATGGTGTAGCTGAAGTTGATGGTTTAGGCCTTCGAATAATAAAGCTGTTGAAAGAACCTTGCACAGCTGCTTTCTTTTCTCATTATACATCTTTATGTAGAGGTCATTTGCGTTTATTTAAATTTTAATGCTTTGTTCTGTTAATGGATCCACTTCAGAAAATATGTTCATTGCTTGCTCCATATAATATCCACAGACCTCTCACCTTCTTCATATCGTTTTAACGACTAGTTTCTCGGCTAAGCTTATACACTGTATGCCTTATACTGTATCTTCAATTCCGCATTCTGATAAAGAATATAAAATTGACCCAAAAAATTGAATTATGAATAGATAAAAAAAGTGAAGGTGCAGTATATGTAAACAGGTAGAAGGAGCAAATTAGGAGGACTTCGTGTTGTTCTTGATTCCAGCTACCCTACACCAAAGTAAGAAAGTGCTTGTATATACTGTACTTATATGTTATTGGAGTAAATTGTTTTTGCAGATTTTCATATCAGTGTACTACTATATTTCTTTCTTTTACAGATCAAAGTTAGGTCGCCGAAGTTGTCACACATCTGGTGGCAGCCACCCCAATACCCTTTCTGTTCCGACTAAGTGAAATAAGGACAATCCAGGGTCTTATCAGAGCCTCACACACCAACTTTATGAGCAGCACATGACATCTGCTACAGCATGAGTTGTCACTGACTTGTCACATATTCATACTGTACTAATTTCTAAACCAGTCAGATACTGAAGACAACAGAAAAATTATATGAGTGTTATTTGTGTAAGAAAAAGCAAAAAAATTACTTAAAATCACTGTTCAACAGGACTGCACTGCCTGGGGTAAGGTCCTTCTGTTTTTTCAGGAAAATGTTCCTTTTGAAGTGACTTTCATATTTTATCAAATGATGTGATCAACAAATGTGGGGAAGCCTCTAACCACATCCATTGGTTGGACCATACAGTAGGAGTCAGTGTATGAGGGCTTGAGCTGCCACCATTTATGAGGGCCTGAACTGTCACCATTTATGAGGGCTTCTGTGTGCCAGTAACAATTCCTTTTACTCTTATACTTATCACCATTGGTAGCGTGACGATAGGAGGCTCGTGGGTAGGTGTAATGATAGTATCAAGCAATAGGGAAGAAATAACGGTAAATACTGTAGGTAAATAATAGACACAATTATACAAATACAAAGTTTATTTAAACATGAATATGAAATTAGAAGAAAGAATTTATTTGTACTAACAGACAAAATCTAGTACTAGGCCCTCAGGCTCAACATACTCACCCCATTACTGGGTGGACATATTCAATAACACTTCCAACCCTACTGGGTGGACATACTCAATAACACAACTATTATAGTCACTTAGCACCATAAAGACCAGGGCAACTGCCACTACAACGCTCAGTCGTCAGGGGTGATACTCAAGCAACAGCCATGGGGTCCAGCCACCATGGAGTACTATCCGACGAACTCTGGAGATCCCAGTGGATTAATTCCACCACACAAATAGCCCTACTGAGTTGGACACTCATCCACCAATGATGGGGGCTGGTAGTGGGGTGTGGCTTGGTGATCCGGGGTCACCTCGCCGGCCGAGCGTTAGGGCCAGACGAGCCAGCTATGGGGGCTATAGGTGGTCTGAAGTGTCTGACGGCCGGGTCTCACGAAGGTAACAGATCCTACTGGACCTCGGACATCTCCCCAGACATTGTGGATACAACATCCACCCTACAGACACGGCCTAGGCTGCGTTAGGGACCTGTATGGATGAAGGGACGGGCACTCACTAACGGTAGAAATGCCCGCGGCGCCCTCACTCAAAACAGGCCAGGGAGTCCACCTACTCCTATTCCGATGAATTAATTTACGGTACACTCTGACGTTGAAATTGAGACTATGAACTCATTTTCATTCTCTACTATTATCTTCACTAACAATGCTCTGACTCGGCTATCAAAAGCAAAATTAAATTGATTACAAAGGGTTGGATGGCAACAGGTCCCAGCATACAGCGTCTGCTACTAAATCCGCGGATTATCTTCCAAGCTCCCATAGACAAAGACGGGGAAACAGAGAAAACGGGGGACGTTTCCACTGGGGGACTCAGAAGGTTTTGTGGACGTTTGAGCGTAATATGAATCCTTAAGGTTTTCAGGTTAGCTCTTATCATGACCATTACAAGTGAACCTGTAATAATTACATATAATGTTTGAGAAAGATAGTTTGCCTCATCCTTTTTATCTGGTGGAATAACTAGTTTGAGATGTTCCAGTAAGAGTTGCCTAGCTATCTGTTATCTAGTCCCTAACATGACAATACTATTAAAAATTGAGCTGTAGGGGCACACTGCAACCACCCATTTAATCTTGCAGTGTCTGCTGTGTTCCTTCCAAATGTTCTTCATAAGAGAGCTAACAATTATTTCACTAATTAATTGTTCGTCCCACATGCTTGCCTGTTGCTTTTTACTGTACACAGGCTCTACCAGCATCACCCTTAATTGTGATCATTAATGATTATAGTAGACTCATTAGCATTGCAAGATATATCATCAAGTCTTAAGTCGAGGTGTGAGAAACCTTATTTTTTTTAATTTATGTACATATTATTTGGTAACAAAAATATTTAAAAGAGAAGTAAAATGCAGTTTACTGACAAGTATATGGGGAGACTGGTCCTGTTGCTCATTATTGACAATTTCTGAAGGGGGCTGAATCTCTGTGCTCATGAATTTAATGAGACATGCTATTTACTGTAAGATTTTAATTATTATTTTTTTATTCTCAAACGGTTTTATGTATGACATACTCTTCTTCCAAGCTGGAGCTCTTGTATGTCAAAGACAGTTTCCTTTTAGGAG